ACATCCCTGTTTGCTCCAAGGTGGCTGGTCTATGAAGACACACAGAGAGAGTTAGGAGGATTGGGATGGCAAAAATTCAATTCAGACTTGACTTGAGGAGGGAAAAAGAAAGAACACACTGGCTTATCATAGCCAAAAAGGCCTGGATAGATTCAGGCATGGCTGGATCCAGCATTATGCAGCACCATCAGGTGTCGGTCTCTCTCCATCTCTTGGCATTACTTTTGTCCTTTGGCAGTCCTTCCCCATGTGGTGGCACAAGTGACCAGTGACAGCAGCTGGCTTCTGTTTTACCAGCTTAACAATCTCAGTTGAAAGAAAATGCCTCTTTCCAGATAGCTCCAGCAACAGTCTTAGGGCAGGCCTTCATTGGTTCAGATTAGGTCATGGGCTGTCCCTGAACCAATCCCGTTAGCCCATGGGGTATAGCACACTAATTGGCCAGCAATGGCGATTGGCTGACCTTGAGGGACCAGTTTGGGTGAGTCCCACCTGAGTCACCCAGACTGATCCTGAGAGAAGAATGGTTTCCCCAAAGCAAAATTAGGGTGCTGATACCCAAAAAAGGGAAGATATATGCCAGACAATCAAGAAAATAAACTCTATTCCAGGTATCCACTGCAATGTCTCACTCAGGCCTAAACAAACACCTGAAATTTAGACCTTTGTTCTCCAGCCCCATCCTCAATAGCATTAGCAGTAATCCCCTTGCCTAATACATTTTCTTCAGCTTCGATGGTGTTACATCCCAATAAACCCATTGTAAATTGAAAATATTGTAAGATGAAAAGGCATTCAATACAACTAACCTACAAAACATTATAGCCTACCTGAAACGTGCTCAGAACACCTACATGAGCCTATAGTTGGGCCACAGCATGTAACACAAAGCCTGTTTTATAATAAAGTTTTGCACAGCTCATGCAATGTATTGAATACTGTACTAAAAGTAAAACAGATTGATTTTCTGTGTATCAATTTTTGACCCTCACTGTTGCATGGCTGACTGGGGGCTACAGTTCACTACCTTGCCTAGCATCACAGGAGAAGGTCATACCACATACTGCTAGCCCAGGAAAAGATCCAAATTCAAAATTCAAAGCACAGCTTCTACTGAATGCATGTCACTTTTGCACCATTGTAAAGTCAAATTGTAAGTCAAACCTTCACTAAGTCAAGGACTGACTGTACTTGTACTTGAAAAGCATTTTAGATTGTAAGGTTCCTGTGCATCTGTTAACTCATCAGCTCTTTCCAACAACTCTGCAAGGTAGGCATGACAAAGATAGGAGTTTTTGCATCCTCATTTTACACATGCAAAAACTGAAGGCCAGAAAGACTAAGTGACTCACCGGAGTCAGAGAAAATGAAATGAATAGGGGATCTACGGTTGGATCCCAGGACTCTGAGTCCAAAGCCAGCAATTGACCTATAATAATGGGCTGCTCTATTAGTCAACTTTTGCTGCATAACGAAGCACCCCACAGATTACTGGCTTAGAACAACCACTTATTTATCTCACAGTTGTGTACGTCAGCAGTTGGGTTGAGTTCAGCTGGGTGGCTCTTCTGGTCTAGGCCAGACTTGGATGACCTTGGCTGGGCCTGTTCATGCCTGTGGTCAACTTGGAATTTGGCTGGGACTGGCTGATTTATGATGGGGTGACTGCAGCAGCTTGGACAACCGTGGCCCCCACAGCATGCTCTCTGCCACCTGCTGAAGTTGCAAAGCAGTGGGGGTGAGCTCTGTGCCTTCCTTAAAACTCTGTAAAATGGGGACTGTCCCATGGGATTCTTTGAGGGTTCATGGCAAGAATTGGCTGTTATTGCTCTATGGTGATGGGAGAACCATGTGAAGGAGACAGCTGGCTTTGTTTCAAGAGCAGGAGCATGAAGGTGCCTTTGTCTCAAGCATGTCTCGGGCCTGTCTCTGTCCTTGTCTTGGGCACCAACCAGCTCAGTGTGGAAGGAGCCAAGGCCCTGCCGTTCCAGTTTGGTTAGGTTCAGGGAAAGCTGGAGGTGTCCCGGCTAGCTTCAGGAACTGAGAGAAGCAAACAGCAGCCTGCACCCTCTGGGTGTAGCTGGATGGTAAGGGACGTTGGGCTCTGAGAGGGGAGGCTGGAATGGCAAGGTGGGCAGGCAAGCGGAGAGCCACTCAGTTCCCTCGAGGTTGGTGGGCAAGGCAAGAGACCACCACCTTTCTCTCTTCAGGCCCAGTGTCCTTGCCTCAGCAAGGGTTTATAGGAACCCTAAGAGCCTGGCAAATAATCAAAGATGGACGCTTGGTTGAGACAAGATGGAACATAGTCATCTCACTTCTCAAAACACTTACATGGCCCCTGCATCACTCAGAGTGGATGCCTAAATGGTCCTCATAATCTGATACCCCCTCACCCCAACTACTGTTCTTTAGCCCCCACCCATCTCCCCCTTGCTCACTCCACTCCAGTCACTCTACCCTTCTTGCCATTTCTCTGACTTACCAAGCACCTGCCTGCCCCAGAGCCTTTGCACTTGCTTTTCCCTCTGCCTGGAATGCTCTGTCTCAGGTGTGGACACGGCTCAGTCCATTACCATCTTCAAGTCTTTGCTTCAGTATCATCTCTCAGTGGGACCTCCTCCAACCACCTATTTAAAATCAAACTTCCTCTCAATCACCCATCCCCCCTCCCAGTTGTATTTTTCTCTAAAGTGCTCATCACCAGCTGACACATTTTACATTTGCCTTACTGTTGGGTTATTGTCTGTCTTGCCCACTGGAAGATAAGCTCTATGAGGGTTTGTCTGTTTTCATGCTGTTTTCCCAGTGCCTGAAACAGTGTCTAGCACATAGTAATAAATGTTTCTGTAAATATTTTTTGATTCTTCTTATTTCTCAAGAGAAGCTGGCAGACTGTATTTTTAATTAAATCTTGTGGCTTTAAAAATTCTGGCTTGATTTCAAGGATTTTAAAGGATACTGCATGGGCCAAACAAAACATATGTTCAGCCAGGATCCTGTTCATGGAGCCCACCCCCTGACCCGCAACACCACCCCCACTTAAGGCCCTTAGTGTAAGTTGCATTTCATCCCAGGAGATAGTTTGAGTGAGTTTTTCCAGGTTCCTAATTGAGCGGTGGTAGGCTGGACTCTGAGGAAAAGGGGAGGGACAGGAGAAGAGGCAGAGAGATGGCACTGACTGGGCGCTGTCCAAGCTCGTGGCTGCAGGTCCTCTTACAAAGCATCTGGGTTAATTCTAAGACCCTGGGGCTGAGAGACTGACCGTGGCCTTGAAGTCCATGCCGACAGCTGCAGCTCACATGGGTTCCTACGGAGCCCTGAAGTGGCTTATACAGCCCCTGGCCAGCCCGGTCCCACCCAGTCATGCTTGGACACCTACTATAGCTCTGAAGCTAAATGGGCTTTAAGAGCTGTTTTTTCAGTTCAACTAAAACTAGCAGAAGACCTTGCAGATTTGGGGGAATGGAGGCCCAATCCCTTAGCAAACAACAGTAACAGAAGCCAGGGGAGAAGTAGCCAGAACAAAATGCAAAGAGAAAGAAAGGCAGGGCTCTAGGATCTGGCTTTTCTGGGCTTGGGCCAGGGTTTTGGTGGCAGTTTAAGATGCAGGTGGCATTAAGGATTAGCACCAAGCTGTGGAGGCAGGTAGATCTGGAACAAGGCGCAGCTCTGCCATTTACCTGCAGATTTATTTATTGAGTTCCCACTGCATCCACTGAGTTCTATGGCTTGTGTGAAAATTTATTGAGCACCTACTATATATCATACTTAGGACTGGTTGCAAAGTGAAAATACAGGGCCCTTTGTTCAAATATTATTAATGATTTCAAGATGAAGATAGCAGAGCATTAAGCCAAGTGTAGGGCCCTTCTAAGCATGAGGTCTTTTTATGCCTGGGGCCCTGGGCTACTGCATGAAGCTGGCTCTGCATGCAACTGTTGAATAAACACATACCTGGACTCTACTCTCATGGCTCTTACAGAATAGGTAGAGAGACAAACAGCAAATGAAATAAAAATAACAGTTGCAAGTCATGATAAGTATTTTAAAGGACAAATAGGATGTGAGAGTAAAAACAGGATGGGTAAAAGGAAGTAACTCAGAGTAGTCGGGGAAGGCTTCCTGGAGGAGGTGACATTTGAGCCAAGACCAGCAGAGCATGAGAAGGAATCAGCCATTGACAGTGAGAAGAAGATGCTGTCAAGGCAGAGGGAAGAGCAGAGGCAAAAGCTTGGTGACTAGGAAAGCCACTGTGACTGGAGCAAAGTTGGAGATACAGTGAGAGTGGCAGACAGTTCTTTGAGGACGCAGAGGGGATTTAACTCTTATGTGCAACAGACAGCCATTGAAGCACTTTGTTATTTTTAAATTGTATTTAAAAAATATTCAATAGCAGGAGACTCAGACACCGAGAAGTGACTGGTGGTTACCAAGTGTCTGGTGATTGGGGTGGGTGAGTGGGTATGGTGAGGGGGAAAAAGGAGCACAAAAATTCTCAATCATAATTTAAGTTGGTCACGGGGGTGGTAGTACAGCACGGGGAATATAGCTGATGACTCTGTAACATCTTCCTATGTTTACAGATAGCAACTGCACTAGTGGGGGTGAGGATTTAATAATATGGGTAACTGTTGAACCACTGTGTTGTATACTTGAGACCAATACAAGATTGTATATCAACTATACTTCAATAAAAAGAGGGTTTGTTTATTTTTGAATAACTAACATGATACCTGGCTGTCAATACAAAGGGGTATATTGTGAAAATTCTCCTTCCTTGCTCAGTCTCAGCCACCCAGGCCCCCTCCCCAGAGGCAGGCGATGTTACCAGCTTCTTGTGCATTCTTTGCAGAGATACTTTATGCATGAAGTCTGTTATTACCCCTCTCCCCGACCCCCCCTGTATCTCCGCCCCCAGCCGGGTCTGCCTGTGGCCACATGACCTCCTTTCTTTGCATTTCCCTCTTCTGGGCCAGGCCAGTTGACCAGAGGTGCCGGGAGATCTGACAGCCCTGGCAGCAAAGCGGAGGTCACCAGTGCTGTGCAGGGTGGCTTCTGGCTGGGAGGGTTGTAGCTGCACTGTTTCCATGGGGCCATCAGCCAGTGAGTTTGGACTTTGCAGGTGGAATTTTAACAGGAAATGAACTCCCGGTGTGCATGACTGAATGCGGGAGAAGGTGGGTAGCCAGGTTCTTCCTTGGGGACAACAGAATTTATTGATCAAAGTTCTTGGGAGGGGGCTGTGGACCCTTACTTCAGCCCTCCCTGCCCGCTGGAATCCCCCAAAGGGCCGTTCATCTCAAACGAAAAGCAGGAGGCCAGACATTCAAATGACTGCTCTCCGGGCGGACCAGGGGCAGCTGAGGAAGCTGATTACCAGGGACTGAGGCTCTCGGCACTCATGGGGCAGGGGGCCCAGGGGGGACCCAGGGCTCCTCACTCAGCTCTTAGCACAGGTGATAACGTGACATTAAGGTTTTTGGCAGATTTCCTTTGCACTGGAAGCCATCTCTCTTTTCTTTCTGTGTTCAAAGTGGTAACGATGAAATGGTGATAATAATCTGGGAAGATTATGTTAACCACAGGGGAGAAGCAATGACTTTACTGTAAAGGGGCTTCTCTCCCTGATGTCCAAGCATTGGGCCTCCTCTCCTCCAGCTTCACCCACCCGAAGATTTAATAATTCTTCAGGCTGCAGCATAGGAAAGATTTCTCTCCCTGTTCACCTCCCAACTTCTCATCTGTTCCACTTCCCAGAAAACAAGGCTGTGTTGTAACAAGACCTTCAGGGAAATTAAGACCCACTGGACACAGTGATCCACCTTCCAAAGTTTTTTTTTTTAATACAGTAAGTGTAATCTCCATGGTCTCTTTCCCCTTACTCTTTGGTTAGACCTAGGGGAGATGGAAGGAGAGGTTCAGAGAGGAGATCAGCCTGGGTAAATTCACCTGGACATAGTGTTGATGGAGAAACTCATTCATGCACTCAACAAGTATGTATTAAGTGCCTTCTCCATGCCAGGTGCTGCACTAGGTGTTGGAGATTAAGCAGAGAACAAACAGAAGTCCTCCAAGGAGCCTACATCTTTGCAGGGAGATGCAAACACTAGGCAAATAAATATAAGACATGATAAATTTGGGAAGGGATAAGAGCTGTGGAGAAAAAGAAATCAGAGTAAAGGGAACCAGAGTGGAGGAGATGGAGAAGGAGGTGTTTTAAATTGAGCAATCAGGGAGGACTCTTTGAGGAGGTAACAATAGCCCTAAACAAAGGAAGAGAGTGAGCCAAGCAAATATTTGCAGGCAGAGGGAGGAGCAAGTGGGAGTGAGCCTGGAGTGTGGGGAGCTGAGTAGGGGGCATGAGGAGTGAGAGAGAAGGAGATCACAAGAAACCAAGCTCGCGCTAAGGAGTTTAGATTTTTTTCTAGGAGCAATAGGGAGCCCTTGAATACTTTTGAGCAAAAGAGTGAGTGACACGAGCTGATTTACTTTATTTGGAGTGAAGGGAAGGACATAAAGGGCACTGATCTGAAGTGTTCAGGTTGGTGGCTTTTGCAGATGTGCATCCCTGTTTAATGACCATCCGGCTCAAGGTACAGAACATTCTCACCTGACAGAGGCCCCCTCCGGCCTCTCCAAAGTCAGCGATGGATTTGCTCTGATTTCTGTCACCATCATATAGCTCTGTTCTTTCATGTCAATACCATCAAAAAGCATAATCTCTTTTGTTCTTGGCTTCTTTCACTAGACGTAATGTCTATGAGATTCATCCACGTTGTTGTGTACATCAGGAGTTTGTTCTTCTGACCAGTATATGGAATATAGACCACGATTTGTTTGTGAATTAGAATAGACCACAATTATTTGTGAATAGGCCACAATTTATTTATCTACTCTTTTGACAGGCATTTGGATTGTTTCTAGTTTTTGGTTATTATGAGTAAAGATGCTATGAATGTTCTTGCACATGTCTTAGAGCATGAACACCTTCCCCTTGGGTGTATACCTAAGAGGGAGACTCTTGAGCCATGTGGCAGATGAACATTTACCTTTAAGAGACCAGCCAAACAGCTTCCCAAAGTGGCAGTGTCATTTTTCCCAACTTTGAGATATAACCCACATATCATACCATTCACCCATTTAAATGGATGATACAGTGGCTTTCAGTGTGTTCACAGAGTTGGGCAATCATCACCACAATCAATCTTAGGATTCTCATCACCCCTAAAAGAAACCCCGAACCCTTTAGCCATCATCTCCCAGTCTCCCCCACCCTCCCCCTGATGCCGGCAACCACTAATCTACTCTGGGTCTCTGAGGATTTGCCTATCTGGACATTTCTTATAAATGGAACCATATAATACAAGGCCTGTTGTGACTGGCTTCTTTCCCTCAAGGTTCATCCTTTGCGGCATGTCTCAGGACTTCATTTCTTTTATGGTGGAGTAACAGTCTGTTGCAGAGCTAGACCACATTTCATCTGTCCATTCACCAGTGGGTGAATATTGAGTTGTTTCTACTTTGGGGGCATTTGTGAACATTTGCATACAAGGTTTTGTGTGAACATATGTTTTCATTTCTCTTGAGTGGGTAGATACTTAGTGGAATTGATGGGTTATAATGCTAACCGGTTCACCGCGGTGGTATTGTTTTTACAAGCTATGGTTTATGTTGGCGAAGATCTTCCTGGCCGCTGTGTGGGGCATGAACTGAGGTGCGCCAAGGACAGAAGCAGGGGGACCAATGAGGAGGCTCCTGTACTAAGCATGTGGGGTTAGTAGTGGGTTGGCTCGGCGTACTAGCAATCCAGGCAGAAAAGAACAGTGGGCAGTTTCTGGATCTGTTATGAAGATCAAGTCAATATGATTTTCTGATGGCTTGGGTGCAGAGTATTTTTTTTAAAAAATCAGGGATGATTCCAGGATTTGGGACCTCAAAACTCTGAGACATAAGTGTTTTGGCCTGACCAAGGTCAAGTTGATGGGTACATGAGTCAGATGACATCCTCCAGTAGAAAGACCTTGTATTGGAATTAAGAACTCTATGACTTTTCCCCTGCTGTGGCCTTGAGTCAGCGAATGAGGTGAAAGTGGCGCGAATAAGGTGAAAGTGGCTTAAAGGGAGGGAGCTCTCTGCTCTGATCCATTTCTGCCACAAGGCAAGGGGCTGTGAATTTTCCCAGCACAAACTTTCCCTTTGGGTTCTGAAGTTGCCAGTCTGGAAAGTGGGGGAGCTGAGTGAAATTCCCTTTCTTCTCTGTACCCCCTGGTCTACTTGGCATGGAATAGAGACTTGAGAAATAATAACTGTCCTCTCTGGGTCACTGTTTTCCAGGAGCACCGGCTTTCTGCCATGACTGACACTGTATTCAGCACCAGCTCTAGCCGTTGGGTGTGTCCCAGTGACCGACCCCTTCAATCAAAGTAAGTCACTGGGTCTTCTTGGAAATGATGTGTTGGGATCATTGAGGTCATGATTGTCCTACACTTCAAGGAGGAAAGGAATTGCAGGGCCAGAAATAGAATTTCCTTTCCTGGATTGGGGAAAAAGGACCCCAGTGGGAGTTTTGTTACAGAAACTTCTCCTAAAATGCTATTTTACTACACTGCAAGGTTGGAATAGCAAGATTAAATTCTGAGCTCCATGCTCCAAAGTAGAGGTAGCTGGAGGAATGGTGGTTAAAATCAGACTTGGTTTGGGGTCTAGATCTGAGCTAATTTGCTGTGTGATCACAGGCAAATCCCTTCCCCTCTCTGGGCCTTGGGTTTTCTCTCAGTCTAATAAAGAGGCTAAACTAGATCAGAAGTTGCAAACTGGCAGGCTACCAGCTGACTCTGACTTGCGTAAGTGGGTTCCCTATTTTTTTAAATCTTGACCTGATCATTTAAAAATTGGGAAATTTCACATAAATGTAACGTCACTTCTGTATCCTGGAACGTTTATCCCTGAGTCAGTGGTGTGCTGGATCTGTACTGTAGTGGCTCCTGAGAGAGATGTTAAATTTTCAGGAATTTTGCCAGCCAGCTAAACACAGCCATTATTAAAAATTAAGTTACATAGTTTTACACTTAAATTATATTTAACACAAAGGATATAAATACTCAAAATCACTTTTTAATTATTTTACTACATTTTGTTATTCTCTATGTTATATATAGGTCATCAGACCTGCGTGGTGAAATACTATATAAAGGTGCAGTTCTTGCCAGTTCTGCATTCTGTGACATCATATTGGCACACAAAATCAGCCACAGTGGGGCTTTTTCTCCAAATAGTAGATTATTAAACATTTGCCAGCGCACCACTGCCTGAAGTCCTTGACAGTCTAAGTCTGTTGTTTAGCATTCCTAGGGGTTTGATCACTCATCATGATGTGTTTCTTTGAACACCTGGTAATTTTTTCTTGTGAACTAAATTTGTGAGAAACCTGAAGAAAAGAGGATATCTTTCTTCAAAGAGATTTGCATTTGGTTCTGCCAGGAGTCAGTGTGATCATCCAAGATGATTTTAGCTCCCCTTGAGGGTCCTGGCTCAGTGTGGGGTGGGACATCTCAGATGCAGCTTCGACACCTTGTTAGGAGCTCAAGGTCAGGCTCTGGAAGACAGTGCTATTTGCACTGGCTTACTGCTCACAGCTCCCTGTGTGGGATTCAATTTACTAGGCTTTCTTTTTGGGAAAAAAAAAGCCTTATAAAGGTTCGATTAATATACCTCCAACAGTGCACATTTAAAGTAGAATTTGATAATTTAAAACACACACATATACATGCAAACTATCACACAACCAAGGTAATGAACAAATCCATCCATCCTAAAAGCTTCCTTGTCCCCCTTCCTTCCGCTTCCCCATCAATCCCTAGGTAATTGCTAATCTTTCTGTAGCTATAAATTGGTTCGCATTTTTTAGAATTTTGTATAAATGGAATCATACAGTGTGTACTTTTTTGGAGAGGGGGAGATATCTCTTCTTTAACTCAGCATAATTCATTCATGATCCATCTGTATTTTTTTTCATATCAATAGATTTTTTTCCTTTTGATTGCTGAAGACTATTTCATTGTATGGATATACCACCAATTGTTTATGTATTCATCTATCCATGGACATTTGGGTTATTTCCAATTTTGGGCTAGTACAAATAAAACTTCGTGTAGACACGCCTTGATTTCTCTTGGGTGATTACCTAGGAGCAGAATGTGTCGGTCACATGGCAGGTGTATGACTTTTTAAGGAACTGTTTTCCAAATAGGTTGTAACATTTAAAATTTGCATGGAAAATGTATGAGCATTCCAGCTTCTCTGCCTTCTCACCAGCATCTGATAAGATCAGCTTTTTCCATTTTAACCATTCTCCTGTGTGCAGTAGAATCTCATTGTGGTTTTAATTTGCATTTCCCTAATGACTAATGATGTTGAACATCTTATGTAATTTTGCCATTCATATAACCTCTTTGTTGAAGTGTCTGCTCAAATCTCTCATCCATTGTAAAATCAGGTTACTTATCTTCTTGTCACTAAGTTTCACAAGTTTTATTTTTTCATAAATTGTACATAAAACTCCTTTGCTGGATATACATTTTGCAAATACTTTCTCTTGATCTATGACTTGCCTTTTCTTTTTCATAACAGAATCTTTTGAAGAGGAAAGTTTTTCTTTTGATGAAATCTATTTTGTTTATTTGTTTGGAAAGGTGAAGCAGGTTGGAGAATTCCCTTACTTTCTAGCAATCCCAGAACTGCATTAAGGAAGTTTGCTCTAATTTATCTTGGGCTTAATTGTACTTTGGTGAAAGGTCTCTCTGAATATTTGGTCTGTCTACATTCTCTGAAGCTTTTGCTGCTTCTACCTAAAACCTCCTCCAGTTCTTTTCATCTCTGTTTTGAAGACGCTATTGAACTCTTTCAGTTTCCTTTTCAAACAGGAATTCTAGTTTGTCAAGCCCTTCCCATGACGTCCTCTTAAAGCCAAACTTACTTTGTGGAGAATAGTCCATCAGCCAAATTTGGGTCTCTGTAAAGATAAACAGTTGCCTGGGGGGTGAATGAAGCAAAATATTTATTTTATTTAAGAAATGTCAGTTAATTAAAATCCCATCCATCACAGTTTACTTTAGTCAATATGAAGCCAAACAATTTACCTTACAATTAAATTAGAATTGTTCAAACAGTCTGGGTGCAGTTTCATTAAAGTGCTCCTGGACTGCTGTGAAACATCTTGGCCTTCTGAATGCATCCGGCTGGCTTGATTGCTACTGCATTTTCTTCAGATATTAAAATTATTTCCCATAAATGCTAGTGGATGAATTACAGTCATCACACATGCTATCTAGTCTGCTGCAGTGGTGATGTGCTAATGTAGACGCTTCTGATGTCTTTCTCCAGTAAATTAAGAAATCTAGTTTTAATTAACTGCTGTCTAGCCAGATACACTTCCTGCTTTTGTGATGTTTCAAATGCCTTCCTTTCTCAGCCTCCTTGAATCTAATGATGGTGTTTGAAACACAATTGTGATTGTTTGGAAGAAGTGAAAATGTATCTGCTTCTTGCATGGGGAGGGCAGTGGTTCGACTCTCTATGTTGAGATACATGGGAGAAATACTGGTCTCTGAAAGTTGATGTTTCTCTATAGCTTTCAAGTCTGCAAACTAGAAAGTATCAGAGGTCAGAGGTGGAAACTGAGGCATAAAGAGAGGACATGACATGCCTATGATTGCACACCTTGTAAATGGTGATGCTGGTCCCCTTTCTAAAATGGCAGAAACTGCTTCCCCCAACTGGGCCACAGCAAGTGCTACTTTAGGATCATCCAATTACTGTTCAGGGTTCATCACCCTAACCTCAGTGTGCTCCTTTCCTCCCAGTGTTCAAAACAACAAGAATGATGTTGGCCATGTTACCATTAAGTGATTTCTCTTTAGTACCAAACCTATTATCCAAATACAGAAATAATGAGCTCAGCTAATTGATAAACTCAACTATCATCTAACCAAGCTAATTAAAGTTATGGATTTTACAACCTTATATCTCAGCAGCCTTGTTTTAGTTGTGTTAAAATAAAGTAATAATGACTGAAAAAAAAAGGAATTAGGTCATTGTAGTTTAAACTGTGTGGTTGTTGCATCAGATAGTGTTGGTATTGTTACGAGATTTCTTTTCTAAGCTTTTTCATTTTTTCTTTCTCTTCCTGCTTTTGCTTCCTTCAGTGATAAAGAACAGTGAGTATTTTATGATACTTCATTTTTCTATGAACTGAATTTTATTTCTTTTCTGATCAAAATGGCTTGCCCCTAAAGAGTTAAAAGAGGAACTGGTAATTTTACATGTAAAAAAATCCAGGTTATTAAAAAAAACACACACCCCTCTTGAGAAAAACTATGAAATGAAAAGAAATCTTGAATGAAAGGAGGTAAGTGTTCCTTAGGAGAGCCCCCAATTTAATTCTTGTTAGCAGTTTGTGGGATTCCAGCAAGTTGTATTGACCACTCTGTGCCCCCGTTTCTGAGCATTTCACCGGAGCACAGTGTTCTTAGAGATAGAAAATGGTAACTGATAAAACTTCTTTCATTAATAAAAGATGATAATCAGCAGAGAGCTTTGGGAAGTTATGTGCTGTACATACGGTCTCTGTCCCCTCATGGGAGGTCAGCCTCATTTCCCATTGAAATGCCTTTGACTCAGAAGCCCTGTCTTTGCTCACTACTTTTGGCTTTTAAATTGGATTAATTTCCTAAATATGCATGACAGATTGGATGCTGGGTCCAACAAATGGACAGTCAGGCTGCAGAGCAGACGAGCTTCGGTTGTGTGTGCACATTCAGAAACTCTGAAAAGTCCGTTTTTACCCTCCATCATGGGGAAGCTATCACAGAGCCACAAGCAGAGTGCTGGGTCGGGTGGTATAAGACGCCAGTCAGCGTCCTGTTCTGATACTCAGTGTCAGTGTGGCCTTGGGCAATGCCCTTTACCTCCTTGGGCCCTGGCCATCGCCTTTGTAAAATGGGTGCAATAACCCTACACTTCCTCCGTCACCAGGTGGTAGTAAGATCAAATGAGATGCACAGGAAAGCTTTGTAAACTGTAAAGCACTAAGCAAAGTCAGAGGAGGGTATGAATCACAACCTTGCCTTACCCCTGTACGTATATGCTAACGCACATTGTATGTGCATGTATGTGTGTATATATATAGTGCTTGCATAACTTGTTCAGCTTTTTTGGTCCCTAATGACCATATCGTCCAGCTCAGAATCCTGTCAAGGTTTTCTTAACGCTAGTACTTAACTAGGTGACCTGTGGAAATTATTCTCCTGGCTCTAGCTCAGATGGGGGCTTTGAATGAGCTCATTGCTAAAGATCATTTGAATGTTCTATAATCTCTGTTGTCGGCTGGTAAGACTCTGGCCAGACAAGATCTACTTGTTATGAATAGCATGAGTATATTATTCAGACATGCCAGGGATGGATGCCTAGGCATTGTTAGATTATAAATATGAACATCACAAGAGAGAAGTTCATGATTCCAGAGAGTCCCAAGGCTCTTGGAAGGCTTCCTGAATGCTGAAAAGTTGCAAGGCAGCGATATGTTCATCCTCCCCACTCTCTCTTTCATCCCCTCCCACCCTTCCCCCCTCCTCCTTCTCTCACTCCCTGCTTCATTAGAAAATACAAAGTGCCTACCAGGTATCAAGCACGGTGCCAAGCACCAGGGATGCAGGGATAATCAAAGTATGAGGGTGTGTCCAGTAGGGTTACCAACACACTCCAGTTTTCAAGGGGCTACTGTAGCAGAATCACAGTGGGCCATGGGGGCACACGGAGAGGCACCTAGCCCAGACTTCTTGGAAGAAGTGATGTGTAAGCTGAGAACAGGTGAAGGAGGAGCAAGAAGAAGACAGAGGAATTCCAGGTAGGGGAACAGCATGTGCAAAAGTCCAAGTATGAGAGAAAACACAGCATTTTAGAAGAACTCAATGGAACTCAGTCTGGCTTGAAAGGCTAGCAGGGGCCTGAGATCCCCTCAGCATTCTGAAAGGAGTTGGGGAACACAGCATCCCTTCTGTACCCCCTTTAGTCTGGTAAGGGTAAATTTCACCCAAAAGGGCCTTTATGCTAATAGGGCATGTGTAAAATGTTCTGTGGGGTGGCTGCCTGCCCCTCCTTCCCCATCCTTTCTTTAGGGGATTCATTAAAATCTCATTCATTGAGCTGCAAACAGACTTCCTGCTGACACCTGCCTATGTCTGCATGGGCATCCTGAGGGAAGGGGGTGGGAGTGGAGAAGAAAGGAAAGAAAAAGGATTAATTTTCCACACACCACTGCTGTTTAGTCCTTCGAAGCCTTCATGCCCTGACAGCACTTCCATCCTCCCACTCCTTTTGGAAGTTATATTTTATTAATGGAGACATCTGGTGGGTATTTGTTATGTGACTGTTGTGTGCATGAAATGAAGAACCAAGGTGGGGAGCCAAAAGGAGGTGGGTGTCTGCCCTTGCTCAGCATTTTAGGGAGCAATATCTGTGAGGACTTCTACGTGGGGTCAGGACTAATTTCCTTTCATGTTGAGGGCCACTGGTACTGACTGTGTTGAGAGAGTTTGTTCAGACCCTTTCTAGATGCACCTAAGCAAGTATATTCAGGTACTAGATGAAGTATATCCAGAATTCTGGTTTCTCGAGTCTCTGACCATACTCCCCCCACATATGTTTCTCAGCAATTTCCTTTTCCTGAGTGTCAGGCATCTGGAAAGCACGCCAGTCAACTGCAGTGATCTTTAGACTCTTTGTTAGCAGTGAAAACGCTTTCTCTATGTAATATTTTATTCAGAAATAAATATATAAGACAGATAAGAGTGGAGCTGGATAAAGACTTTTAGTAGCTGAAAGCATTGAACTTATCATGGTGAACTTAATGCAACTATAAGTTAAAATAATACCAAAGTATAAAATAAATGTAGGGAGCCTAACGAATTCACTTTTTTGTTGTTGTTGCCATAATGGATATTGCATCAGTTAGCTTTTGCTGTGTAACAAACCATCTTAAAACTCAGTGGCATAGAACAATAATCATTTATTCTCAGGAATCTGGACTTGGCTGGTGGCTCTGCTGATCTTGGCTGCACTAGCTCATGCATCAGAGGGTTGGCTGGTCTAGACTGACCGTAGCTGGAATGACTCAGATCTGCTCCACGTGCCTCTCATCCTCCAACAGGCTGTCCTGGGCTTGTATCATGATCATGGCAGAGATATGAGGGAAAGCAGAAGCACATAAGGCCTTTGTAGGCTTAGCCTTGGGACTAGCATAACGTCACTCCCCTGCATTTTACAGGCCAAAGCAAGTCCTAAGTCCAGGCAGGATTCACGGGGTAGGAAAAAAAGACTTTGACTCTGGTGAGAGCCATTTCAAATTCACATGGCAGAGGGCATGGATATTTAGAAGGGTGAAGTATTGACGTCTACAATGCAATAAACCACATTTCATGTTTTTATTAAATACCAAATATTAAATTCTTTAAAAACATTTTTTTTCTTTTTCTTTTCTTTACTGGTATCCTTGCTTTGCTAGTGTTGGGAATCCAGCATTGCCATCTGGCTGAAGCGAGGATGGAGGCCCTGCCTTCCCTCTCTGCTCCTCTATCCCCCAGTCCCCTGCAGCCCTTGAGATCCCTCCACAGAACTGTGGAGCAGTTTGAAACCAGTGGCTTAGACAGTATGGGGGGATAGGAGGTAGGTGGCCTTCAGTGTTTCTCCAGGAAGCATTACCTTAAGTATGTGAATAAGAGTGGGGACAGGCCAGCCTTTTTTGCCCTGACCTTCTCAGCCAGTAAGCCAGGGGTCTCTTCTCAGGCAGTGTCTGAGGGTCTGGAGTAGTTGTCCATCAGGAAACAGACATGAAATCATTCCCACTTAATAGATCCAGAAACTGACACTGAGAGTGGTGCAGAGCTCCAGCATGCCCTGCATATAAGCTGCAGCCCCAGGATCCTAATCTTGAACTCTGCCAAGTCAAGGAGGGCTCAGGCTGGTGTGCAGTAGGCACTCTGAGTACTTTCTGGATTGGATACCATGCTCTGAGTGTATCAGATGGCTTTGGTCTTTGACAAGATCCCAATACTGGACTCTGGTCTTAAGGATGCAGAGCTGGAACCCTGTGCCTAGAGCCCCTTGGTAAGGGAGCCACCATCCTGTCACAGGAGAAATCTTGAGGCCCCTATGCTCACAATGATCCCTACCCCAGGGTAGGCCCAGAGAGGCCCCTTCTCTCCCTTGAGAGCAAAGGCTTTAGTTTGAAAAACCATCTCATTTCCCTCTGCTTGCTTTTGGAATTAAAACACGAAAACCCACAGGAGGCTTGTGAGCCCCCACTGAGACCAATCGGTGACATTTTCAAACACTGGATGAGCTGTTTGTCAACTGTGTGTTTTGGAGCAGAGGAGGGGGGAAGGGTCTGGAGAGATGCCGGCAGCCTCCAGCAGGCCTTCTGCTTGTTTGCAGATGGAGGCAATTACCCTGGGCAGGCCCTCTTGGGGTTCCCATCCCTTCTTGTGTGTCTGGAGCCATGTATGTCTCCCAGCACCTGTTTCCTGTGCACACTGACCCCAGTGAGTTACAGGTTCAGGGAGAGGCATTGGCTTTAGGGCTATCCCACAGCTGCCTGAGCCCACGGTCAGATTGAGAGCTGCAGGAACATGCCCTTAGATGGGTCTCCACTGGGTACAAAGTCCAACCAGCATCTCACCTGTGCTTTGGTCACTGAGCTGCTTTGCAGGAAATAAATAGGAGAGAATGAAGGAGGAAAAGTGGGCTTGAAGGAAAGAAGAATAGGGATAGTCAAGACATCCATTTCCATGGAAACCAGAGTTCCCACGAATACGGCTCTTTGGGAAGGATGGATGGTCTTCATTATGCTAGAGTCCAGTGTAGCCTTTAACAGTAATGGGAAGAAACATCATGCTGAGGGATATCAGCATAAGGAAGAGCTTCCCAGCAGAACGGCACAGATGCCTTATCAGAGAGTGAGGTCTCCATCATGGGGAGCATTCAAGCAAGGCTAGAAGGAACCCTGCTAGGGAGGCTGTGGCAGACAGACTTTCAGGTGATCCCCAGTGGTCCCCACCTCTTGGTGTTCATGCTTTTAGGCAATCCCCTCACCTTGAGTGTGGCCAGGACCTGGGATGTGTTTCTAATCTATAGAGTATGGCAAAGGGGATGGGATGTCACCCTTGTAATTACATTATGTTACATAAGACTCTGTCTCAGTCAACAGGAATGAGAGATTCACCTGGCATGGATGATGAAGGAAGCAGCCCACAGGCTGAAGCTGGAGGGCCCCACTTGGTTAGGGATGGCAGGTTGCCTCCAGGACCTGGGTGTGGCCTCTTGCCAAGCAAAAGCCAAGGCCTGACCCAGTTGTTAGGAAATGAATTCTGCCAAAACCCAAATTTTCCTGGAAGCTGATTCTTCGCCAGTCAAACCTCCAAATGAGAACACAGCCCAGCTGACACCTGACTGCAGCTTTGTGAGATGCCAAGCCTGGACTCCTGACATGGAAACTGTGAGATAATAAATGTGTGTTGTTTTAAGCCCATATGTTTGTAATAATTTGTTATGCAGTATTATGAATAGAAAATGTATGCAGACACTTGTATGCAGATGGGGCTTTATGCCACCTTGTCTTTATCTTCCAGCTGGGCTGGTTTTTGCAGTTATCTAATGCTGCTGAACAAATCACCTCAAATTTAGCGGCTTAAACAACAGCAACCACTCATTACATCTCACAATTTCTGTTGGTAGGAATTTGAGAGTGGCTTGGGCTAGATGGTTCTGGTACAGCTTCTCATGCCATTGTAGTCATATGTCAGCTGGGGTTGCAGTGATCAGAGGATCTGATGAGGGCTGGAAGTTTGCACAGCTGCCAAATTGGTGCTGGTTGTTGGCTGGGGGCCTTGGTTCCCTTCCACATGGGCCCCTCCACAGGGATGTTTGAGTGTCCTCATGACATGGCGTCTGGCTTCCCTAGAGTGAATGATCCAAGAGACCAAGATGGAAGCTGTGATGCCTTTTATGACCTAGCCTTTGGAAGCCACACATTGCCACTTCCACTGTATTTAGTTGGTGACACAGGACCAGTCAGGATTCGGTGGGGAGGGTGTGACTCCCAGGAGACAGGGCTCCTAGGGGACCATCTTACAGGCTGGCTGCCATATTGCTCTTCTTTTACTTCCTCAGGCACCCTTCCTTCTCTCTCCTTTGCAAAGACCATTCATTCCCTCTGGCAGGCCCAGTGTCTTCCTCTGCCTTCCCCTTACTCACTGCAGCTCATCTTTGAGGTCTCAGCAGGGGCCAGCCCCAGCTTTGTGGGGCCTGGAGCTTATGCAATTCAGGGGGCCCTCTTCAAGATAAAGAAGACAAAAATATCTTGATTTTGTAACTTTTTGAGATTACATGGTCATTACTGAGGCCCTTCCCGGGATTTTGGGAGGTGATGGAGCAAACAAAGAATTCCATATTTAAGCTTTGCCAGCATCACTGTAAACCATCAGGACCCCAGAATGATGTCAGAGAATGCTCCTTGGTCCCCTAGACTAAGAAACTGCCATTGCTTCAGCCTTTCCATGGCTCACACTTATAATTAGACATTTAACATCCCTTTTGGCCACAAGGGACCATGTTTTATTCAAAACCTTTCTGGGCTCATTGTCAGATATTATTCTAAATACCATTGACACAATAGTGACACAAACGGGGCTCCAGCCCTCCTGGAACCTACATTCTGGTGGGGGCAAGAAATGGAATAAACAGGTAAACTACAAAATTTTTTTTAAAGATTTTTTCAACTAGTGGTGGGTGCAATGAAGAAAGCAAACCTGGACAAGGGAGGTCAGGGAAGCCCTCTCTGAGGAGTTGACATTTAAGCCAGACCTGAATGATGAGAAGCCAGCCATGGGAAGATCTGGGGAATGAAGTGCTCCTGGTGGGGGAACAACAAGTGCAAAGGCCCTGAGGCATAGATAAGGTTTTCATGTTTCAGACTGAGCAGGGAGGCCAGGGCTAGTGATAAGGGAGAACCCCCCACCCCCAGTCAGGGTGGGGGTTGGGGCCAATAAAGATTGAGAGGCAGGTCAGGAACAGGTGGGACTTTACAGATGGGCAGGAAGACTGGGTTATTTTCATTAAGGTACATTTTAAAGTGCACAATAGCACTTAGCATATTCACAATGCTGTGCAACCACCCCCCCTATCTAGTTCTGAGTTTGATTCTAAATCAGTGAGAAGCTGTGGGAGGGTCTGAGCAGCATCAGGCAGAGGCCCCTGCCCCAAGGAGAGGTGTGTTTCCACCAGCACTTGCCCCGGCCGGCCACACCCGCATGGCCCCCAGACATCTGCTTCCCTCTGCTTTGAACTCCTTCTCTAAATTGGGAGGATGGAAGGGGAGGCGGGGGAGGGAGGAAGATCGGGCTTTTAATTTCCAACTTTGAGTGTCAAAAGGCAATTTCATGCCTGCTGACATGATTAGAGCAGTGGAAGTAATAGAAGCTGGCAGCTAATGGGGTGCTGGCTCCTGAGGATTAGTAGTTACTGATTTTTTTTCCCCCAACAGGGACAAGAATTTCTAGTAGTGTTTAACCCTGCATCCACCCAGGTGAGGCACTCAGTGCCTGGGGCATGGGAGACATAACAATTTGCCCTAGAGCACAGTTTCAGCGCTCCTCCCAGCAGCCCCTGGTCCTCTGCTTGGTCACCCACGCTGCTGGTTGGGCATTCAATTCCCTCCATATTGTGGAGGTTAAGTGTACAGGCCACCCAGGTCTGAATTCCACCTCACCACTTCCCAGCCACATGCCCCCAGGCAAGTGGTCTCCATATCGAGTCGCCTAAACAGTAAATGGATAACATCAATCCTGCCTCGTTGGGATGCTGTGAGGATGGAATGAGGCATGTGGGCACACAGCAGGGGCTGTGTCAGCATGTGCTTTTAAAGTAAGAAAAGCCAAGAAGACCACAGGATGAAACTCAAAATGCTACAATAGCTTTTGAGGCTAGGAATCTGGGTATTTCTGTGACATCAAGAGATTTTTATGAACCTAGTTGGCAATGAGTTAACATTCATTTTTTAAGAAATCTGTAGCCCAAGCAAAACACCTGGGCCAGGCCGGGTCTGGCATTAACCTGGGACCCAGGGCTTCCAACCACCGTCCCAGAATTGTTTCCATTCCAAGGCAGTGACTGTTTTGGATCCTTTTCCTGAGAACGCCACTACCCTCCGGGTTTCCATGAGCTTTCTGCAAATGCAGCTCACAGCGCCTACCATGAGCCAGCCACTTGACAAAAATAAACTCATCAGAGCCCTGTGAGGGAAGTATGTGTGTCCTGTTGCACAGATGGGCAAACTGAGAGGCCGAGAGGTGGTTCTTTGGCCCAGAGTCTCCCAGCTGGAGAGTCTCCCAGAAGAGATGAGAGTCGAGGTTTACCAGAGTCCAGGGCCTGGGGCCTAGCTCGCACTCCCCGGAGCCTCCTGGCTTTTCTCTCCAGCCTCACGCCTTCCCAAATTACCTTTCAGGCTCCAGGCAGGCTGGCCCATCCATCCCAGTGGTCAGCCCGACAGACAGAGAAAGCAGGAAGAGCTGACGGATGAGGAGAAGGAAATCATCAACAGGGTGATCGCTCGGGCTGAGAAAATGGAAGAGATGGAGCAGGAACGAATTGGGTGAGGGTTGCACTCCATGCATTCGGAGAGCGCCAAGGCGTGGGGGCCAGGAGGCTGTGCTGCACACGGTGGGAGCTGGCATGGGGCAGGGCTACCTCTGGGGTCCGTCATCTGTGACACGCCAGGCCACCCACCCAGGCAGAAGTGGAATCCTTGTTGCATGCCATGCAGTGGGCGAGCAGGAAGACGGGAAAAAGAAAGAATGAGAGTGGGCAGGGGCTGGCTGGGGAGGGGAACTGAGGCTGGGAGAGGGGAGTCTGCTCACAGGGAGATGGGGGCTTGTCGCTGGAGGCTTGGCAGGGGGCAGTGGGCTCAGGTGTCTTAGCCAATCTCACCTGTGTAGAAATATGTTCCAGAGACACAGGCTATGTTGATGCCAGAATGTATAGCCGAGGGAGAAGTAAGGAGAGAGGATGTCTAAGGGACAGTATGTGAAAGAAAGTAAGTAAGACAATTGGAAAAATTAATCCCCAAAGAGGGAGACAATGGAAATTAACCTGGTGGCCATGGACTTGAAGAACCTGGGGATCCATCCTGGCCCCCCGCTTACCTTACCGTGTGCTCCTGGCTTGGGCATGCAGCTCTGCCTGTCTGACCCTCTGCTGGCTCACTCGCAGCAGGGGGAAACAACAGTAATTGGCCCCCAGGGTTGTAGGTAGGAAGGGGAACGATGTACGTAAGGCTCCTGGCCCAGGCCCTGGGAATACTTCATGTTTAGTAAACAGTAAGAAGATGGGAAAAAAGTGGGGTTTGTGGGCAGAGCCTTAAAAAATGTATGTGAGAAGAGAGGCAAGGGCTATAAGGAAGATGTGTAGCTGTGTCTGAGAGTGACAAAATCAGTGAGGACAGTGCTGGAGAGAGAGGGAGGGGGTGGGGGTGGACTTGGGAAGGGAGGAGGGGCGCACGCAGGTGATCACGGAGGAGCTGGAACTGGGGCGACTGTGTTGTGTGTCTGTGGGTGGAAACTTCGGCTGCCGGGGGGAGGGGGGATCCTCCAATACTGGGGCATCAGATGGGAAATGGGAGGGGTTGCCAGGAAGCCCCTCCCCACCCTTCTGCCAGGGCCAGCCTTTGCCAAGGGCTTACAAGGGATTTAGACACCGAGGTGCCAGTTTAGCTCCCCACTCACACACTCACCTAGGGGTTAACGAGGGCTTTGGGGGGAAAATGATGTTATGAACACGCAGGAAGTGGATGCCTTTGATTTGAGCCTGTGTAAATAATTTTACTCCAGGCCGGCTGGGGACGGGAGGGCTGCCACTGACAAGCAACAGATGCCCACCACGGCCCGTGGCAGCTACTTAGGAGGCCCTCCTTCAGCTTTCTCGGGAGGTTGCTTCTTTAATTTTGCTTTTATAAAGCTCTGTCAGGAGTGGGCTTGTCCAGGCTGGAGGTCTTGCACGTGCCTGTGTGCGTGTATGTTTTCACTTCACCCAACAACGGGCCTCAGCCATGTGGGAAGGAGGAAATGGATGTCGGAGGTAAACACCTGGAAGCAAGAGCTCCCCTCTCAGCCTCTTTCCAGCACAACACTCACCACCAGATAACATATTTTATAGTTTATGTATTTAGTTTTACCAGTGTATTTCTGTCCCTGTTAGATTATAAGATTCTGAGAGTAGAGATTTTTGCCTGCTTTATTCCCCACTGAATCCCCAGAGCCTGGTAGACAGTAGGTGTGCAGTAAGTTATTTATTGAGTGAATGAGTGAACATGGCAGATGATGCTGCCCCCAATTTCTTTCTATAGCTCTTGCGGCCAAGAGGCGGAGAGTTTAGAATTTTCTAGTCCAGGATCCAAATTCCCAGGGAAGGCACTCTGACTGACTGGTTTATGTCAGGTGCTATCTGTCATCCAATGAACGGTGGCCTAGGGTGCTGGCCATGTGGTACAAATGTAGCCTCTGGGCTGTCTCTGCAGGTACAGTTCAGGGTGTCCCTGTGGACTGAGCAGATTCCATCTTGAATATTCTAGAAACAGGATAGATGGGACCCCTGCCGTGTCTTCCATGTCTTGTCATATAGCCTCAGCTAACCTGGTGATATGGTAGGATAGCTTAGTGCTTAATCACTGGGGCTCCAGAGTTGGGGAGACCAGATTCAGATTCCAGCTTTGCCGTTTACCGTCCATGTGATCTTAGGTCAACCACTTTACCTCTTTGTGTCCCAGTTTCCTCATCTGCAAAATGAGGACAGTATATTAGCACATACTTCTCAACGAGTGTTTAATTAGCATGCAAAGGATTATCATGGTGCCTGGCACAGAGCGCGCGCTCAATAAGTGGTGGCAATCATTTAACTATGAATTTGCTGAGAAATCTGTTTTTGACACTAGCCAAAGCCTATGTTCTAGAATTATGCCCCCAAGACTGCTATTTGGCAAGCCCTGGAACTCCAGCAGCCCCTGACGTCCCTGAAGAAGACTTCAGAGGCCTCCGGGGAAGCTGAGCCAAGCCCGTGGTGACAGAGCGTCCCTCTGCTGAGATGGTGTGCCTTCTGCCAGAGTGAGGAGGGCAGCCCCGGGCACTCTGGCTGCGTTTCCTGGAGCCCTTCCAGTGGCCTGCGTTCTCCAGTACCCTCGCCAGAGCCCAACTCAACGCTGTTTGTGTCCTTTGTGCTAAAATGTGCCCTCATTCCCATTCTACCCACACTTCCTGCTTTTCTGAACCCTATCAAGTAGGTGTTTATATTGTCCCCATTTTGCATGTGAGGAAATAAGCTTAGAGAGGTCAAATCACTTGCAAAGGCCACATATAGCTGAGGTACTACACCGGCACACACACTCTCCCACTGGCCACTCTAGAATTTTACGGTTAACTATCAGGTGTCTTTGCTGAAGACCTGGTCCCTCTTAGACCCTGCAGAACATGGAAATTTTTAAAGCTCATCTTTGGAGGGGACATTAAGGGAGCTAGAAGCTGGAGCCCCTTCTGGGCTGACCCAGGGCTTTCTTCCAGATTGCATTAACCTGTTTGAACCTCCAAAGCTGCCTGAACTGGGGTGCACACTAAGAGTTCTGGGGAGAATTGCCCACAGGCCTCCCCAGGAAGCATTGCCTCTCTGGAGCCACAGGCCGTGCAGCAGCCCAGAGCTGCTGCCCTCCCTGGAGCCTCTTTGCTGCTGGCCAAGGAGTTGCCTAGACCTTCATCACCTCTTGGCCACACAACCCAGCTCTGCTCTTCTCAGCATCCCCACAGGGAAAGACAACGGCCAAAAGGGAAACTCATTAAACAGCCTCTCCCCCCACCCACCCACAACATTCCTTATTCAAGCACTAAGTGGGATCTCAGAGTCTATTTTGCATGCCCTGATGGCTACAGACTTTCTATTATTAGGACACTCTGCCTGCAAGAAAGGAGATCAATTCCAGTGAGTTTTGTTTTGGTTATCTCTTGCTGCATAACAAATCCCCAGAGCCACGTGACTCAAAGCAACAATCAGTATATTATTTTTCATCATTCTGCGGGTTGAAAACTCAGGCAGGGCTCTGCTGGGCAGGTTTTCTGCTCCAGGTGGCATGGGCGGGGGGGAGCACCCTCAGTGTCATTCATCTGTTGGCTGGGCTGGACTGGAAGGGCCAGGAAGGCTCCACTCCATGGCTGTGCCACAGTTTCTCTTTGTAGCCCTCTCCGTGGGCTCTTTCTTTATTCAGAAGTTTGGCCTGAGCTCCTTTACATGGCGGCTGGCTCTCAAGAGAGCGAAGGTGGAAGTTTCCAGGGTTCTTAATAGCTAGGTCTTAAACTGGTAGGGCATCCCTCCACCACTCTTTCTTGGGAAATGGGCCCCTTCTCCTTGTGGAAGAAGGATTTACCCCACCAGGGAATGAAGGTGTTAATGGAGGCCATCTTTGGAGATTCTACCATATTACTCAAAAAAGGGAATTTAATATAAAGATTCAGAGTATCTCAAGGGATCCAAGGGCGGAAACACAGCCTAGGCTCATGCTCCCTTTCCCATGTGTCTGAAAATACTCCCATGCTATACCTCCCTGGTTTTATAGCTCCTCTTAGTCCTAATTCCAGACTCGCAGGGAAGGAACTGATTGGTTCAGCTCACCTCGAGCACCTACCTCTTGTCCAATCAGCTGTGGCCAGAGGTGCCAGGTTCTACAAACACAGCTGTTGAGTGCTTCTCCTGAGTGTGAAAAGGGCCTCTGAGAGTTGGACAGATGCCCATGGGGTGTCCACAGGATGTTTAGACTGTATTAAGTCAGGAATTAAACATTTTCCTGGAAAGTTTGCGGTTTGGGGCTTTGTTTTGTTTTTTTTCCAGTGGTAGGTCCCTCTGCATCCTTATATTTCTTTCTGTCCAGAGCCTCTCAAAGGCATTGGCTCACATATCCTGCCTGCGAAGGGCCAGGCAGTGGGGTGGCTTCCATTCAAAGTCAACTTCCCTAAACAGATGGGCCCAAAAAAGTAATTAGGATTTGTCATTAACCTTGGTGTCCAGATACTGTGATGGAGGAAATGTTAGAAAGACACAGGAAGACCTGTTGTCAGAATCTGCTGGATTCCTATCACCTCCCCATCCCAGTTCCACCATCCCCTCTATTTTTGGCACAGAATTTTTCCAAAATGTGGACAGAGGGAGAAGTAAGTAATAATACTTGGAACTTGTCACATTTAATTAGGTGGTCATCTTTCCTGTGGTTTGACAGGCTGACAATAAGCCTGGTCACTCTCCTCTCTCTAAAGGAGGGCCCCCCACCCCCAACCACCACCATTTTTATGACCTAGAGTCCTAGGTGTTCTATGGGAAGAATTCAGGAGGGTTGTGGCATCTTTATATTACAGACACATTTATGCATGTATCTGTGTGGATTTTTTGAGAGGAAATATACATAGATTTCATCAGGTTTGAGGGGACTCTGAACCCCCTGATGTTAAGAACTTCTGAGTAGTATCCAGGGATTGGATCGGTGCTTTCTAATGTCCTAAGCCTGAATACTTTGACAGAATCTGTTTGTATAAGATCAATGTGGAAGTCTTCTTAATTGCTTAA